GTATAGAAGCGGGTCGAACTAAAAAATGCAAGTACCCCAGGCTGCCACCTACAGAAGTAGTACATATGCTTGCTGAGAACAACCACACGAAAACAACAACACCACGACATGTGATGGCTTGGAAAGCGCAAACAAACCCCCTACACCCGAGTTTCGCCCATCGTTCCTGTTGCTAGGCTACTACTGCCGCCGCTGCTGGCACCAACGCCCGACTGTCGCTGGCGAACCTCCCTTTGTGTCCTGGTGTCGCACGTGGTTGCCCTCTTATTACTCCCCGATGATGATGTTGGTGTGACACCGATGAGGTCCAAGACTTTTCTGCGCTCTGCGTCGGAAATAGCTATCTCCGATCGAAATTTGGGACTACCGCCACCATCGACCTCGCTGTGTACTGACNACGTACAGTAGGGGGGGCCCGCAAAATGCGCCCGTGAGGAGCGGAGGGGAGTGTCTGACGGTTTCGTTTTTTTATTTTTTTCGGCAACGACCCACCACGACGCCCCATAGGACTAAGTTCAGGTTACATGCGACACGTTTCGACTGAAGCACTCGGCCGTGATGAAGCGTGTTCAAGGGGTGCTCGGTCCCGGCTCTATCGCGTGCCGCACGCTTGTTTCATGGAAGGACTACTGAGGAAATAGCTCGCACATGTATGTGCGTTTTCGTGATGCCTAGATCTACATGAGGCGTGTTAGGTGCAAAGAGTCTCTCGAAATGGCAGATGCAGGCACGGCGAACGGTTTTCTCCAATTTGCGGTAAACCGTTATCAGTCTGTACCCTCTCATTCAATGTGGTCAAGAGCATAGGAATATTGGCTGAGAACGGAAGGTGAGGAAACCAGGACGCGGATACATCGCGTTTTTGTTCACGTCTGCTAGTCCGACCATTTGGATGAGACGCTGCTGCAAGAATCTCCGCCACGCTCTGTCGTGCAGTCAGCTACATCCATAAGCGCTCGCCTATCCGTCCACAACGCACGATGGCGAGGCGCATAGAATGAAGGAAAATCCATGTCGTCACACCCCGCCGCTCTGCGTTCCCTGTTTGAGGAAGTTCGCCCTGCATCTGCCATAAAAGGGTGCATGTGCCACATAGTGTCGACAACGACAACGGTCACGACGATACAGCACGAGCAACGTCACCATAACCAACGGATGAGTAATGGTTTGCTCGTGCACGATCTGTGCCTGATCTGCAGATCTGCTTAGCCTGTTCACTTGATGCTCTCCTTGGTACAATCTTATGTGAGGAATAATAAAATGTAGGCGATGGGTGTTGTTGATACCCGCTCGGTCTCGCGGGCATAGCAGCGCATGGCGAGAAACGCCCACATCTCGATCATGATTTCTCTCTCTCTCTCTCTCTCGTTCTCTCTCTCTCTCTCTCTCTCTCTCTCTCTGTGTGTGTGTGTGTCATTGTCATTCTCTCTCTTGATGCAATGTGGAGACCGGAAGCAAACTACGCAGGCCGTTCAAAAACAAACGAAACGATACGATGGGTTTATGTCACCCTCGAAACAGGCGTCCTGCCAAACGATCGTAACGGCTATGGCGTCTCGATATCGGAGTTGGGTCCAGCTAGCTGCTGTAGTCACAGGCCGTCTACTTCGAAGCGAAACAAATAAGCAAATCCACAAATGGAAAACCGTGCTTGTTCCCCCATGGCCGGTACTACTTGTACGGTTAGACTGGACTGCGGGTGATATACGGCCAACGACGGCATATCCCCACCCAAAACACACAGCCACATCGATGCAAAGGAAGGTAGGGTACGGGTGAGCCACCGGTGAAAGGCACATAACCGGAGGACATAAAAATTCAAACAAGTACCCAAACGATTCCACATGAGATACCAAGCAGCAATGCTGGGCGCTAGCGGGAAAAAACTAGCCACGCCGAACCCAAGGCAAGACGTCTCCACTCCAAGTCACGGCCAAAGACGACTCTTGCCAGAAAAAAGACAGGGGCTACGCCCCTCAAGAACAAGACGCACGGTATGCAGAAGGGAGAGAGAGAGAGAGAGAGAGAGAGAGGTCGACTCGGCATCCACACATCGGTGCGTCGCTTTTTACATCATGGTGCCACCGAATAACACCATCATGCCTACCGTGTCGTAGCCGGGCGCGGGACGCTCTCGAGCAACACAAGAAGGAACGCCTTTTTCTCCACCTCGTGCACTTGCCGTGCCACACCCAGTTAAGCTACTGCACAGCCCTAACTTGAAACCCCGGGGAACAACCATTGCCATCCCCTTTACCAACAACATTCGGACGTTCCGCAAGTGATTCGCACCCGGGTCGTGTCAGCTACGAGACGCGCCGGCCAGGCCAGCGGAACTCGCGCTCTTCATGAGGTGGCCGTGTCCGCGATCCCTCGCTCCCAGGGAGGTACACACGCGAAGCAGGTCGGCCAGCAGCCCGCTTGCAACCGTCTCCGGCCCCCCCATGGGTCCCTGCAGGACCATCGGTGCCGATTCTCCCATGCGCTGCGGCGGCAGGTCATTTCGTCATGCGGGTTTGTCGGCGCGAACGCAACATATTAGGAGCGGGTCGAGACTAGTAGGATGTGACGCAGCGCATATCGCGGTTCCGATGTTTCGCTTTCTTGGTACAGCAGTCGTCGTGGGCCCTCTTTTCTATAGACCCAGGCCAAGCCACTCGCCCTACACAGTGGGCACCCACCATAGATGAAACACTTGAAATACAAAATACTGCGATCGTTCTAAAAACGTGCGTCAGGATTTTTCACTCGCCGTATACTCATACGGACACCCGAGGGCCCACGACAGTTTTTGGGCTAGCGCCTGTAATCGAACTACTCTACCGTCTGGCTAGAATATGTTACGGTACGGAAGAGGAAATTTGGGACCATACGGCAGCGTACACATCGGGATCAGAGGTGATCAAGGATTGTCTCTGCCAACGCAACTATTGTCAACACAATCGCGAACGCGCTCAAGCTTCGAACGTTAAGCCGGATACGGGCAGCACGAATAGGTTACTATTTTGGATACCAGCTCCTGCTGAAGGTCATGCATTTGATAGTCGAATTCCATAGGGCGGCGGGCTACGCAAGCAGTAGTCCCACGACCCGGGACCATCTTTCCAATCGATGCAGACACGTCTACCACAACCAAAACAGCCATGCTATTTTGGACAGAAGGGGGAAGTCGGTTGTGCCAACCGCGAAGACGCTTGCGCAAGAACTCCCAAACAAGCTTCGGACGAGGGAACTGTACCTTAGTCTGGTACATGACACAGAAGGCGGCTCCTTTGAGGCCGGCGTAAGGATGGCTCATCTCCACTTCTCGGATACCGGCCGTCGCCTCCTCTCTGCCGTTAGCACCGTTGCACTCAACCTTGATGACGTACCGAAGCACCTTCCCCGCCCCCCTCGCAGCTTCCACTCTCCGCTTCATCTCCGCGTCCAAGGCAGACACCCTCGCGACTGTTTCGCTTCCGCCTACTTCGTTGGAAACCTGAAATAAGAAACAAGCGGTGGCCAAAACAGCACCAAAACGACATCGAGTGTAGAGACGAAAAGTTCGCGGATAGTAATGGTGCCTTTGTTTTTGCGCCCTCCAGTATTTTCACAATGTTTACGATTCATGTTGTAGAACAGAAAATATATCGTCATTGCTGACCCGTAGGGAACGCGCTACCTACGGAAACGAGGATGCTACGGTGTGCTGTACATCAAACTGTTTCGCAAAGGGCGCGAACGGCATGGAAAGTCAGTGCACTTCACCTCAAGCTCGTGTGATACCAACGTAACTTTTGTTCCCCCCCACCCTACTACGTGCTCCCCCATCCTACGGCGGTACCCCCGTTCTAAACAATGAAAACGACGCTTGTGCTGCTGCTGCTGTCAAGTTTGGCGTTCCTATTATCACTCACATCCAGAACCGGCTCTAGTTTGACGTCGCTTTCTTCCAGCTCCAGACCCATTTCTCGGCCCAGGATAAGCAGCACCCGCCTGTGGTGTTTTGTTTGGTCCAGACGGCCAAGTGAAAAAAATGATAGCGGGGGCGGGGGGAGGGCAGCGATAGAGCAAGAGGAACTGAGGAAGAAAGTGGGAAAAGGCCACTACAGGGTGCAACGACAGAAGTCGGTTCGCAGAAAGTGGAAAGATCGGCTGCCACCCGCCGAAGTCATCCAGTTTCAAGGCTGGAGGTCTTGGCTCCAACGCCAACTTCTACGGTTCCCTCATGTCCCTCCTGCCGTCAAGTGGCTATCCATCACCAGAAGAAAACAGGGACGAGAAGGTAACGGGATTCGTTCGCAACCTCACGAGATGTAAAAAACAAAAAGGGGCAGGATGCCACACTGATCCAATACGTCAAAGGCAACCCCTGCGGAACAGAGCAAGAGGCTTCAGGGCGGAACAAACGTTCCAAAGATGGCACGAAAGCACAGCAGACTCTTCCACTAAATTCTTCGCTTCTGTGCTCGCAGTCTGAACTATCAAAGTTGCAATGAAGGGGGCAAGAACCACCGATTGGACGCAAGAAAAACGAGCAGGAGGACACATGCAACGAACGAAGGCAGGCAGCGCGAGGGGGGGGCGGATTCACCTGGATTGAGAATCTCCACATGCGTACATACTGCGATGGTGAACACCTTACCTCTGATCTTCGCAGCCCAGATCCTTCACCACGTCTCCAAGATCCATGAGCCCTGACAACGGTTGACGGAGATCAAAACATCAAAACCCCAAAGCAGAGGAAAGAAAAAAGAGCACGATCATGAGAACAAAAAAAAATATAAAATGTAGGCAAGCACGCCGACAACCGATCCAACCGATTCAGCAAACTTCACGTGTTTGAATGAGAAGACATGGGAGGGCCGAGTTCAACCGTGCGGTGAAAGAAGCAAAGCTTCATATTTGTAGTCGATTTCCCTTGAACTCGAAAAAAGAGGGTTGACAACATCAAATTCGGGGAGAGGAATTACCGTCATCAGCGCAAAGGCTTGTGGGTTGGACGAGCAAGAAAGCAAGCATGGACTGACCAAGAGCCCGAGAGCAGAACAACCACAATGAACAGGTGGAAGATCCAAGCTAGGTAGGTCAATCGGACAGTAGTAAGATAAAGGTGGAAGACCAAAGCTAGGTAGGTCAATCGGACAGTAGTAAGTAGACAAAGGTGGAAGACCAAAGCTAGGTGGGTCAATCGGACAGTAGTAAGTAGATCAAGGTGGAAGACCAAAGCGAGGTCGGTCAATTGGACAACAATAAGTACGAAACAGGTGGAAGAGCGACGCTGAGTAGGTCAATAGGGCAAGTATAAGTACGAAATGGGTGGAATAGCCAAGCTAGGTAGGTCAATAGGACAAAAATAATTAGAAACAGATGGAAGGAGCGAAGCTAGGTAAGAAACAGGTGAAAGGATCGAAGCTAGGTAGCTCGGTCGTCTCTCACCCTGCTCGGCGGCCTCCCAGCACGCCTTCGAAAACGCCACGGGTTCTTTGTGCTGCTTGCCGCCGCCGCCGCCGCCGCCGCCGCTGCAGTCAGGGCCAGGAGATATCCTGTTGAAGATGTACGACAGGAAGGCGCTGAGGACGCCCTCTATCCGCAGCACCTCGTCTCCGGCGCTCCGCAGGTTCTGGCGCGGCAACGGCGGGCGGAGACAAAAGGGACCCACTTATTCCAAAACCGAAGCATTTCACGGGGTCCCGTTCGGCCGTCGCTGTCCGGGATCTTGCCAGACGCATGAGACAAAGCGCCGCGAGCTTAAGATGAGTCCGGGGCTCGAGAAACTGTCGACCGGGTCGTATTTGCTCGCAACGAGAGCTGACGTCTATTCCGTTCTGCCTACCCACACGGCCGTGTCGCCTCTCCGACTAAAAAAGCTCTGATCATCGATCACATGATAAGCTTACGTCATGTGCAACGTTTTCTGTTGCTTTCATCCGTATTGGCGTACATGTCACATCTCCCACTCGAAGGCCTCGATCGTCCATCACATCATCAGCTGACATTCGTGATGTTGCCTTAAGCTGACGTGCGTATTGACGTACATGCCGCCTCTCCTACTCAAAGCTCCGATCGCCCATCATACGTAAAGGTGCCTTTCGCTTACGTACGTAGAACCCATACGTCGCAATCGGAACATAAATAAAATGGTCGTCGTTCTCTGATTGTGTATTGCCTAGTTCGTAGAAAGCAAACCATCTACGCTGGGTATTTGCACATCCGTACTTGCAGAGTGGTGACGACGGGCAAAGCTCCGCCAACCGTGGTCTCGTAGTGGTAACTCGCGGGACTGGTATCTGCGGGAGACGAAGGCGAAGGGAAGAGAAGATTTGAAAATGGGTGATCGGTCAGGTGGACAATCTACGGTGCTAAATAGAACTTGTTGGGATTATCATCGCTAGTTCCGGTCTCTGAAAACATCAGTACGTGACCGTGCATGTTGTTCCTTTGAATAGTGTGGAATATGGAAGTGGCATCAGGTCCAGCGGCTGGTGAAGCCACCCTTTCCATCCGCCGTAGAGATCCATAGAACCGGGAAAACTTTGTTATTGAGCTTGATTCCTAGAACGTGAACCATTTTTGGGGGGTAGTTGGCCAGTAACCACGGTATGGACAATAGAAGGTGGTACTGAGCAGAGACCAGAAGGAAGACGACAACGAGGAAACGGTCAGACGGGAGGTGTCACGAGAGTCGCCCAAAGTGACCGCTCCGTCCGTAAAGCCCTACCTCGAGCCTTTAGCAGCTCATGGTAGCTGCCGAGGGCTCCTCCACTCGCTAGTTTGTTGCTGCTCACCTGCCGAGAACCAACAGCAGGATAAGCGATGCCGGGTACAAGAGCGGTTGTGAATTATCGAAGTAAATTTATCAGTTGTGAAATCGGATATCGGACAAATTCATCAGTTGTGAAACCGGAATTAGGACCACACTTTTCAGCTGTTATGAAATCGGAAATCGGACGAAGAAAAAAAGTTGCCATGGAATCGGAAGTTGGACAACAACGCCTCTCTACGACAACGAACAAAAAACGCAGGCACCCTATTTCGCGGCGGCTGAGACGAACAAAATAAACATGTTGGGCAAACGAGCACCAAACAGCAGGTACCGATGCGTTTTTCGCGAAAACAATGGCGCATGAGCAAAAATATTCATGCCATCTTGCGTAAGGTACACCCAGCCGCCATTCCCGACAGCCACGCGGCGCGATAGAGCAAAACGTGACAGCATCACCAAGCAGCAACCGTTTCTCAAATTCCTATGCAAAAAAAAAATACCCGCATCTCAATCTCGCGTAACAGCCAGGCGGCGTGATAGCACAAACCATACCCGCAGCAGCATACGACACCGACAGGACAAAGAACTGAACAGCCACCAATCGGCAGCGAGCGTTTCAAAGGCGCAAACGAGCCCATGAACAAACACCCACACATCGCCATCTCGTTCGTACCGTAGAAGTACCCACTCACCACGTGCAACCCCAGCGACAGCCAGGAAGCGTGGTCGCTCGTGGCCCCGTCGGCCGTAGAACAGTCCACGATCACCGAGTGCGGGAGGTGGTCCGACTTAACGAAGTCCACGAACGCCGGCACGTCCAGGGGCTGCGCGCACCCGGTGTCCCCCCTGCCGTTGGCCCCGTCGTCGTAGTCGCACGGGTTGGCCCCGAGCCCCCGCATACCTTCCCTCTCTTCTTCGACACCCGGTGGGGCGTTGAGGGAGTCGTTCCACCGAGCAAGGTTGATGGGGGTTCCGCTGAGCAACATCTGAGGGGTCAGGGGGGCGGGGGGTCCGGGTTTTCGAGGAGGTGGGATCGTTCCAACGAGCGAGGTTGGTGGGGGTTCCGCTGAAAAATATCTGGAGGGTCGCGGCATTGGCGGGGGGGGGGGGG